AAGATTTGGTTCACATTGGAGTAAAGTAAGAAAAATTTTTAGCATTAATTGAAAGCAAAAGTGGAAAGATGTAAACAAATTTAACTCATAAATTAGTTAAAACCATTTTACGGGGATGCATAAATTAAATAATTTTTTATAATCATGTATAATTTAATTAATCATGTAATATCATATTATAAAACTCACACTTTTTAATATCACATGTTTAGCATTTTTTATTAAAATCTTCTAAATATCTAAAAAATCTTGAGTTTAAGTCGTAATCTATGTATACACAGCAATAATAAAATTCTTGTCAGGAGGTATGCCCTCCCAAAAAGGTATTCTCAATTGCCGAATGGATTAATCTGGTCAAGGACCTCAAATATCAGAGCTCATGAAAAAAAAAAAAAATCTAAACATATTTTATTTTGGCAATGTCAAAATTAAATTTGCCAAAATAATAATTCTAGGGCACGCAGTGTTGGGAGGAGCTAAAAATGTCCACGTCACAGTATGCCACGGAGTCAGCAACCCCATGAAAATGTCTAATGCCAATGTGAGTATGGAAATTAGCTTCCTCCACCAACACTGCGTGTCCAGAACTTATACTCTAAACTAATTGATCTAATAACTTAAAACTGAAAGGTCTTCGTTGACGCGTGATCTAATAATCTCACTTTGTCAGAATTATGGAAGTGGAAGTTCGGCTTTCCATCATAATGTTGCTGAAGGTCTGGCTGACAACAATTTCGTCGTGGGGGGCTAGGAATGTCTTTATTTCTTCAAACCTGACATCATCTTTTTAATAAATAGACCGAATTTAAATTCAAATTTTGATTAAGCTCATTTACAATAAATAGGTCACACTTTTTTTAAAAAATATAACCTACGAGTTTAATGAGTTCACCTATTTATGTGTGTGTGTGTAATATTATATAATATGTGTGTGTGTGATATTTAATTTAGGAATTAAGAAGTATAGAAAAGTTAAAAACTCCAAAGCAATTTGGCAAAAAAAAAAACTAAAACTAAACAATTTCACAATATATTAATAGAAGGATGTCAGCTTTTGCTATAGAAATGAGGGGGAAATTAGATTTGGAATCAAGTGAGTGAATTAAGACCCATTTGAATTTTAGTATGGTATAATTTATTACAAAAATAATTAAATAATATAATTAATTTTAATTATAATTAATTATATTATAATGCAATATATTTAGATACTGAAATTGATTTCAACTGTATAAATTATCATAAAAATATTATTTTTTAAAATTAAATTACTAATAAAGTTATATTTAATATTGTTAACTTTTATTTAAAAAGTAAAATATATTATGTAATAATAAAATTGAATCTATAAATAACCCCTCAGACTTTATTTTAAAATGTAATTTTGGCTCAATAATCAATTATAAGATTTTTCAACTGTTTGGATAATTGTTGGAAAAATCAATTATTTGGCCCCAAATAATTGATTTTTTGTCAATTTAAATAGGCAGTAAATCCATTCGGTGAATAAGCATCTCATATAGTATGATAATAGTCATTTAATTAAATTGAACAGTTATAAAAAATTTTATTATATAATATTCAAAAAAATATTCTATTTCAAATTTTTGGAAGGTGCATCATATGTGAGGATTATTTTAATCATAAGAATGTTTTGAATTTTTAAAGGAAAAATATATTTTAATAATTTTAAAGTATTGATAAAATCTAATAATTATAATTAAAACACACATTAAGTGACTATACTTAAACTATTCACTTAATCTAAAAATGAGGAAATTACTTAAAATCTGAAGCTAAATAGGTAAATACTAGTCTTAAGCAAAAGAAAGTGATGATCAAAAGCTCGTTCCCTCGTGTTAATTAAAAACATTATCTTCACACAACATAATGATTGAAAATTTATAAAATTTTTTATCATTGGTAAATATAATAAATCATCATAATATAAAATATAATAAATATTAGGTCATTTACTTAATTTAACCCTATAACAAAAAATCCCTTTAAATAAATAGGTTATTGCTATTTTTAAAAAGCCTGACTCATGAACTTGATAGGCTAGCTTGCTTACATATATTTTATAATATATATACACATACATATATATTATAATGTTTAATTTAATTATGTATTGAGAAAATAAAAATTCAAACCCAAATTTACAAAATAGAAAAATTTAAAATGTTGCATTATATATAAACAAATTGAAAAAAAAAACTCATAATAGGCATAGCAAGTATCGATTATCGTATCGTATTCATTTTCTTTATTTTCGTATTTTCAATTTGTTTGCAAAGATTAACTATGCTGTCAGATTGAGGGCACAATGGATTGGCAGGGGAAGTTTATGAATGAATAGATCAACATCCATTTTGGCCAGTGGCGATCGTCATCAAGTGGCTCGTATTGGTTAACCTTCGAAATTGTATTGCCAATGAAGCAGGAGGAATGATATGTTTTGCATATGTTTGTTGGGACTTACATTGGGTTAGCTAGATACAACTTTCTGTTCAGCAATGGTAGTAATGGTCATCTCTATAATGGTAAAATAAACTTGTACAAAAAGCACTTCAGGATGTGAAATTACTTGGTTGTATCAGCTTGTAGGGAAGAAAAGATTCTCCTAATATCAGTTTTAATCTTTCATACACTATATCACCTGGTTTTATCTTCCATGGTTTAGTGTGTGTATTTGATTTTCAATTCACATTTGGTAAAAGTATATTTGAAATATTTGTTACATTTAACAAAAATACATTTCAGATATAATTTGAATATATTTTTGAGAGTTATCCAAATAAGCCCTTAGTATATCACAGTGAAAGTTATATTTTTTTTTTTTGTAAACAATTAATAATATTAGCGACTTATTTAGTTGACACCTAGTTTCATTCAAACAATTGCATGTAACACACACACACACACACATTGACACCTAGTTTTATTCAAATAATTGCATGTTTTTTGGTTCTATTTAAAGGGTAGAAATAAAATATTTTTTGGTCTTATTTATTATCTATTGAATGTCATAGAGAAAGAATATATTATTAAAGCATGTATATTTAATAAAAATAAAGTTTAAAACTTATTAAATTCAAATAGATTTTTAAACTAAATTAGGTATTGAACAAGCTCAAGCTTGAGCTATAAAAAAATATTATATAGATTTTAGGTTAGATTAAAACTTATTAGTTAAAACCTGACTTAATCTAGTTTATATCCACCCTTATTATTGTGGCGTGAGGATACTTGTGTAATTTGATCTTTTAAAAAGGAAGATATTGTTGGGACTTTGGAGAAAATCACTTTCATAATATATAAGGAATTTAAATATAAAGAAGTCTCGGTCATGAATTCACAATATTATTATGAAGTTTCATGTTTTTTTCTTGAAATTTTCAATTAATTCTAAATAGTCATTAAAAGAGTTGTTTAGTTGACAACTTAGGAACAATAATCAACAACTACTCCCTTCAATCATTAATATAAGATAAAGTTTAAAAGCATTTTTTGGTCATAAATATAAAACAAAGTTAGAGTAATTATTTTTTCCCAATTTTATTTTGTTTATTTATCATCATTTAACTTTCTAAACAACAATTTTGTTAGGGTCATTAATTATAAAAAAAGGGTATAATTAAAAATTTATAATTTTTTTTACAATTTTAAGGTTATAACAAACATTTCTTAATGAGTGTGAAGTTTGTTAATTTCTTCTTATATCAAGAATGTTATAACAAACATTTTTTAATAAGTGTGAAGTTTGTTAATTTCTTCTTATACCAAGAATTGGAAAAAAATTTAGAGATAATTTACAACTTTACTAGAAGATATAAAATTTTAAAGTAATTTTATGATTTTGTGATAAAAAAAATAATTTTATGATTGTATAAATTTTTTGTATTTAGATTCGTTACGTGAGACTAAAAATTGTTTTCTCCATGGTGGGCTTATACATTGATCCCAGCTAGTGAAGCTTGGATCTTGATTTAAACTAGTCCTTTGAAGGACCTATGGGGGCCCACTTGGGACAACGGCAAGTCTAGTAGTTCACTTTGGTTAGAATGGAAGGCTTGGGTCACATGATCGTACAGAACGTGGGCAAAGTGTTGGGCTGGGCCCAACTCTAATGAGTATTTTGCCACAAATCAATGACTTTCTTTTGGAAAGCTTGTGCGTATAGACGTAACTTTTCACTTTCTTTTGGAACGCTTGTACCTATTTTAGTTGTCACTGGCTCGTTTAGTCAATGAGAATGAAATCTAGTTACTAACATAAAATAAAAATTATGCTCAAAATAAATGTAAAATAATAAATTTTATTTAGTATAACTAACATCAAAATTAAAAAAAAATTATTTTAAAATAGGCCAACTCGCGAGTAAAATTAATTGGCTATCTTTTCTCGTAGGTTAGGTAGGATGAGTTAAATGAACTCACTTTTAGATGGGTTAAAATTTTTAACTCAACTTGTCTCTTTTAGGTGGGCTAGCGTGTAGACTTAACTCATTTTCCAACTATGTAGAGTGCAGGATAAGGTATTAAAGCAATCTCACAATAATTTATTTATGACTTATGTGTATATGAATATCATGACTATTAAATTACTCATTTCTATCTTAAATGTAGCACACAATGTAGAAGGTATTTCTGGTACTAACACAAGTCCCTTGGCATGAGTTTTTGAGGTATCTAAAGTTTTTCAACAAAATACCCTTTATTAAAGAGGACAAAAAGATTATTTGATTTTTAAATTGACATTAATAATTAAGGGTAAAGATGAAAACTTATTTATTATAAAATTAAAGTAACTACCTTTCTTAGTTTTCACTAAAGGTGTTGAAAATGACATATATAGGATCACGGAGTGCTCTAATTTTTTTCATTACTCTATTTCATTCACGTACTTAGCTTGCTAATCAAGTTTCACAAGTTAATCAATAAATGTCCAATTCAAACAAGTAAGCCTACTCTTTCTGCTGTAGACAGCAGCAAAAATGTACTAAAGAGTACGCACACGTACATAATACATTGGATATAATGCATCATATATTCATATTTATACACGCACATGTGCAAAGTGTTGGCTGGACGATTTCCCCTTGCCACATAACCATATAATCGTATGATATATAGACGTCCTTATTGTCAGATCACAACTCTAGTATAGATAGCCAGTCTTCAATTATAAAAATGGCACATGTTTACAGATTCTACATGTGCCTTGACCTCTATCCAACACAATCAAATCACTAGAAATCAATAAGTCCAGAACTTATACTCTAAACCATGCATGACAGGATTCCATCTAAAGAGAATCTGTCCGGGTCTCATACACAATGGAAGATTTGGATATCTCGAGAGATGAAACAGCATCGATACTAATATCCTTTTGTGCTGCTTCCAATGTTGCATGATCTTCTTCCATCAAGTGTTGAAATGGGTTTGAAGGATTTGGGATATCCATTGAGCCTTCCAACATTTTCACCACGACACTCATAATGGGTCTCAATTCTGGTCTATATTGAACACACCAGAAAGCTATTCTTGCCATTCTTTCCACTTTCTCTTTATCTTCAAGTATACCACAATCTGTTATCAGCTCTTCTAGATTTTCACTCTCAAATTTTATCCAAACCTGTCTTGGAAACCACTCTTGACTTTCTGTGAGGTTCACGTCAAGGTTCCTTCTTCTTCCTATGATTTCAAATAACAACATTCCAAAGCTGAAAACATCACACTTGTGAGTTACACGAAAAGGCATCCAAAGTTCTGGTGCAGCATAACCTGGTGTCCCTCTTAGTCCTGTCATAGTAACACAAGACTTTTCCCTGTTACAGAGCTTGGCTAAACCAAAATCAGAAACTTTAGGACAGAAATCATGGTCCAAGAGAATGTTTTCTGGTTTAATGTCGTAGTGGATAATCCTCTGGTTGCATTCTTCATGTAAGTAAGCAATGCCTTTAGCCGTTCCAACAGCAATCTCATGAAGCTTCTCAAATCCTAAGATCTTGTTTTTAGAAAACAAGTACTTGTCAAGAGATCCATTGCTCATGTACTCATAAACCAAAGCCCTCTTATCAGTTTCAATGCAAAATCCTAAGAGGCGAACCAGATTGAAATGATGAACTCGTCCAATTGTGCTCACTTCAGCCATGAACTGCTCTACCATTCTCTTGTCAGAAACACTACTACGTAGAACTTTCACTGCCACAATAGTTCCATTACGAAGTGTTCCTTTATAAACTGATCCGAATCCTCCTGAGCCCAACATGTTGGAGTAATTGTTTGTTGCACGCGTTAGGTGATGTGAGGTGAATCTGATAGGCTTTTGTGATTCAATATCATTGAGAAACTTGTCCATTCTATATGTCAGAATCTGATCATTTGAGTTCCCGCTTTCCAGTTCTGCGACTTTTGCTGGTTTACGCCTTTGGTACATACATATTTTACAATAGAAGACATATATGGTTATCATTATTGTGACCGGAAGCACGCCTGCAATTGGAATAAACGAATTAGTCAAAATTCTTGCAACCACAAAAAAACTAAACTTGGTGAAAGATCTGACTAACATATTAGATAGGGATGCAGTGTATGTGATAAGAAACCAAAACAAACATATAAGATAGAATTGCTTACTAGTCCCATCCACCACAAGCTTTAGTAATGTTAATGACCCACATATTTAAACATTAACTAAATTCAAAAGATCACGTGTCTAGCCTATCAAATATGACATAATTCGGCCTCTATATTTTAGGGACCACTAGTTAATTCATTTTGGTGCTAGATTATCAAAACCACCTCGTTGTGAACACTAGAGCATTAGGATGTGATCTCAATCGAGATGCAATCTTTTGTGCAAAACGATGTCGTTTTGTCTATGACCAACATGGTGCTGAATTTAGGACTGAAAACACACTCTCAATATAGCATTACAAAAAGAGGAGGAAGTGATAGCAAATTTTAGAAGAAAAAACTCTAAATCTTACTTGACACCAAGCTAATGATCAGTCTCGTAGATTCAGGTGACATGGCTGAACAATTGGCTTAAGTTATATGTAAGTGAATTTCGATGCATATAAATCATCTTCATCACCACCAACACATGATTCTGCAACTCCGATCCCTCAGAGTGAAAGATCCAGATTCAGTTGCCCCCGTTTATATGAACTTCATCAAAATGAAAACCAATTAATTTCAAAACCATATTTCATATATGGTGAGATAAACATATATTGATGTGTCTAGCACAAATTAAACTATAAAATCCAGATTCAGAACTAATTGAAAAACACCAAACCAAGAAGCAGATCACAGTTCTGAATCCTCCCTAAGAAGATATAGCCGTAGCAGCAACTCAGAAAACATATTGAATAATGAAAGCAAATATGGAGTCTCAGCACAAACATGGGCTGTTCTAGACTGGTGCACATAGGAAATTGGTGTTCCGTGTTCATTGTACCCTGTTAGAAGTCAAAGTTTGAATAATTCCTCAAAGGATATATTTTTGAAACAATATGTTTTTAGATCGAGTGATATTGTTTTCTTAGTGTCTCTGTCATTGTTTTTAAAATAATCATTCAATTCTTAAAAATGGTTTGGGTGCATCATCGACGTACATAGAACTCGAAAATTTCGTTTACAATATAATCATCAATGCTATATATAATTTTGACCAGACAAATTAAAAAAATACTATGATGGCTAAAGATTTTATTTTAATCACTATAGTCAGAGTCAGAACTTTAGTCATCATTTAAAGAATAATATGTTTTTACATGTTAATGGGCCTTTCATATAAATAAGTCAACTCTTAACGCATGACAGTCTAGTGACTGTTAAAATGAAATAAACTATAGGAAGCGATTTTTAATCTTCTGACAAGGAGCGATGCAATAAATTTATTTGTTTTCTAGAAATAAAATCACCATATCAATAAATTGAGTGATTTTTAATCAATTAGGATGAACAACTAAACACCAAAAGCTTAATATTTCTTTTGGGGCCATCAGCAACTTGTGTTAGTGCCAGAAGAACCACTTTAGGTTGGATATGGATCCCAGTGCTCAAATGTGGTTATGATAACAACACTTTTATATTTTTTTAATTATATAATAGGTTTATCTTTTTCCTAATAGGTTTGAGAACTGTACCAAAAAAAAATGCATTGCTCAGGGGTTTCCATTCAATTGATCAGCCTTTGGAGGACATTTTGCAAATTCAGGAAGAAGATTTTGGTCAAAAAAGAAAAAAAAATTCAGGAAGAAGATGAGCTTGGCAGAACCTTCCAGTGACATAAGATAGGTGGTGCGAAATTGTTGTTTGAGTCAAAGGTTTCTTTTTCTGTGTGTAAAACTGCTTTTTTTTTTTTTTCCATAACATATATCGAATTCATCAAAACTGCCTTGTGCTTTGGAAAATTCAAAGGAGGAAAACAAATTTGGTATTACATTTAGGAAAAGAGTAGATCCAATAGAATATCAAAATGAATCACTAACGAAAATAAGATATTCCCAAAAAAAAAAAAATCGTATTGTTTGACTCAGCTGATGCTTCCATACAATGGAAAGATATATAGTGTTAATCCTGGCTAGAGGCTATTTTTATCTCATGCTTGCTCATGATAGGAGTAGAAATCCAAAATGCTAGGTGTAGATGATATTATAAAAGATCCAGAAGCGACAGTAGTATCAATTTGTGTCGTTCGGATTGATTGAGCAGGATAACTTCCATTCATCAAGTGCTGAAAGATTCACAGGTTTTGGGATTCCATTTCTATCGTAATTTTTGGTTTTTTATGTGTAACTTTTGAAGTCCTTTTTTATCATTTACTGATCAATTAATGATTAAAGTTAATTGTTGTTTATGGCAAAGGCTTGATTATCTCATTTTTAAAAATTGAGAAAATAATTTAGACATTAAGAAAGTTCATGATCTACAATGTCACTAGACTCGAAGTTCAATGAGTAAGTTATTCATTTATCCTATATTAAATACATAATGTTATTTTATTTTATTTTTCTTACAATAGATGTATAATTTTTTTTAAGATTAAATGTCACTTTAAACTCTAAATTATAAATTCAAGAGCAGAAATTTAAACTTATATTTAATGTATTTTAAATATTGAATAATTAATTAAATTTGAGAACATTTCTTCAGCTTGCGGTGGGCCTATCCAGGTTTCTGTCACTGTCTTTATTTCCTCCTCCCTCCCTCTCCGTCCCCTGAAACAGAGTCATCGCTCCCTGATTCGTCTGCAAAGCCAGCGACGTTCCAGTGGCTTGGGTCCCCCCCTATGGTCCACGCGCTCGCAAACAGCTGCATGCGTGGAGTCTCGGCACAAAGTAAACATGTAATGTTTTAGACTGATGCATTTAAGAAATTGGTTTCGTTGTATCTTGTTAGAAGTCAAACTTTGAATAAATTTTTTATATTACCAATCATTTTCAGACGGTAAATTGAAAGAGATTAAATTTTCAAAGATCAAGTTTTAAAAGGGACTTTCATAAGTGGTAGTTTGACAATTGCATTAGATTGAGTAATATTGTTTTATTAGTGTCGCTCTCAATGTTTTTAAAATAATCATCATTCAATTCTTAAAAAGGCTTTGGATGTATTATCGCTATAAGTTTTCATTTTTCTAATATATTGCTTTAATTGATTATCCAACATGTATAGCCAAAAATTTGGTCAATATATAGTATCCACCAGTAAGATTCAAAATACATATATGACTTGAAATTTTCTGTTGCAATATAACCATCTAATTTTGACCCAACAAATTAATGAATTAGATTATGCTGGCTAAACATTTTATTTTAATCCCCATCCTTAGAGTCAGTACTATAGTTATCATTTAAAGAAATAATAATATATTTTAACATGTTAATGAGCCTTTTTACATATATATAAAGTTAACTCTCAACGTAAGCCAAGCCGGTGACTGTTAATTAAAATTGAATAAAATGTAGGAAGCGATTTTTAGACTTATCATAAGGAGTGAGGCAATAATTTTATCTGTATTCTAGAAATAAAATCATCATATCAGTAAATTGAGTGATTTTTAATCATTGGATAAACGCCAAAAGCTATATATATATATATATATATGTACGTATGTATGTTGGGCCGTCGGCAACTTTTATTTGTGCCAATTAAAATCCACATAAAGCTATCTTAACTAATCTTTTATAGCAGAACTTAGAACTGCACAAAAAATACATGGCCCAAGGATTTCCATTTTACAGACTCTTGAAGGGGATGAGCTTGGGTAGAACCTTCTCGAAGACATACCCACTTACTGATGAGATCTTCTTGTCATGCTTGTAACTCCTTTTGTAATAATAATAATAATAATAATAAAAAGGAATGCGACTATAAATTTAAGCAAGGTAAGTTGTGAATTTAAATTAATGTTACATGTGAATTAATATAAAGTCAATTGTAAATAAATAGATAGTTTTATAAATTTATGTATTATCACATTTGAATTTTTGGATAGTTACTTGTAAATTTTGAAAAAGTGAATAATGAATTTATGAAATTTTAACTGTGAATTTAAGGAATGTTACTTGGGCACATATGAAACGACAATTGTAAATAAATATAAATAGTTTTACTTGTAAATCAATAATATAAGGATCATCTAATGTTTCTAAATATCTATTCACAATTGACTTTCAATATATTCATAATTGATTTTTAAAAGATTCACAAGTGATTTTCTTTAAATTTTTAAGTGACGAGATATATATTTATAAAATTATATATCCATTTACAATTATCTTTTCATATATTCATAAGTAATTTTTTTTAAATTTACAATTAACTTTCCTTAAATTTATCACTGACCTTCTATTGGTTATTTCAATAATTACAAATATTTTAATTGTAAATATAGACCATGGTCCTTTTTTTTTTGGCATTTCAATATTTTGAAGTCCTTAATTATCATTATTGTCTTTACAAGGTTTCTAATTATCATTTTCCCAATAAATATGGGAGAATTACAAACAAATCTCACTTAAAACAATTAATTACTCTTAGGTCCATTAACAATTGAGCTTAGGATGTGTTGTCATTCTCTTAAGTTCAGTTGTTAATAAAACTAAAAGTAATTAATTGTTTTAAGTATGATGTTAAAGTAATTCTTCCAATAAATATTTGCACTTGAAACTTATACATTGTTTTGCATTTAAAAAACAAAAAAAAAACCTATATAGCATTTGGATTGTTGGATATGAATTTGAATTTTAAATTTAAAATATCACATTTTAAATCTCACATTTAAAATTCATGTGTTTAAAATATTTTATTTGGGTAGTTTAAAAATTTTTAAATAAAGAAAAGAGATGAGTTGATATTTGAAATGAAAAAAGAAAATTAAAAGTGGTGAGTTTACCTTTATTTTTCAATCGAAAAAAGATGAGAACAAGAGATGAAAAAAGAAATGAGGAGTTTAAAATGACTAAAATTTCATATTACTAGAGTACAATTTAAAGGAATTTGAAATTGAAAGAAAAATATCATAAAAAATGGATTGGTCCGAGTACAAATTCCCAGTAATCCAAACACATGCTTAGTTTTTAATGAAATTGACTTTCGTGTTTGATATAGCCCATACATACAACTTGCAAAGAAGCATGTTTTTTAATGACATTGAAGGCAAGCACTCTGTGTGTAGATACAACAAATTTGCTATTACATTTAGGAACAGAGTAGATCCAATAAAATAGCAAAACTAAATCACTAGATAAAATTTTTAAAATCTTTTATTTGGGTAGGTTAAAAATTTTTAAATGAAGAAAAGAGATGAGTTGATATTCGAAACAAAAAAGGAAAATTAAAAGTGGTGAATTTACCTTTATTTTTCAATCGATAAGAGATGAAAAAAGGAACGAGAAGTTTAAAATGACTAAAATTTCATATTACTAAAGTACAATTTAAAAGAATTTGAAATTGAAAGAAAAATATCATAAAAAATAGATTTGGTCCAAATACAAATTCTTAGTAATTCAAACACATGCTTAGTTTTTAATGAAATTGACTTTCGTGTTTGATATAGCCCATACATACAACTTGCAAAGAAACATGTTTTTTTAACAACATTGAAAGCAAGCACTCTGTTAGTAGATACAACAAATTTGCTATTACATTTAGGAATAGAGTAGATCCAACAAAATAGCAAAAATAAATCACCAAAGAAAATTTTTAAAATCTTTTATTTGGGTAATTTAAAAATTTTTAAATAAAAAAAGAGACGAGTTAATATTTGAAATGGAAAAGGAAAATTAAAAGTGGTGAATTTACCTTTATTTTTTAATTGTTAAGAGATGAGAACAAGAGATGAAAAAAGGAATGAAAGGTTTAAAATGACTAAAATTTCACATTACTAGAGT